CTGTCATCCGTACGCAAGGAAGTAAGCACAAGATACCGAACACCCTTAGCAGGATGACGCGCACCCTTCATGCGACTCGCCGAGTACCTCACGGCGCTTTGCGCTTGGTGATGTGAGAGCCTGGTCCGGTGAGAACCCGGCGTGCTCCGTCCCGGCTTTGTAGGGATGCGAGGTCAATGGTCTAACGACTACGGCATGCACGACTATGAGTACACCCCCCCCCCCTTCCCGGGTCTCCTTTTATATTGTTTCAACCGGTCCTTCCTCGCTCGTTCGCCCCTTGTGCGTTCTTTGTTTCGTTGATACCTCACCGTGCCGTCATGTCATATAATTATTTGTTGACGGCGACAGAAAAACACGGAGATGCTGCTGGGAGATGCCAGGGACGTGGCGGATGACCTGCTCTCCAAGGTCACGGAGCAGACGCGCTGAGCGAGCGGTACACCCCGTGTCACGACGCGGGACGGTGTGAAGTACGGATGGAATCCTGACAAATGTGAAATACGGGTGGAATCCTGACGATGGGGCAGCTCAGCCCGGCGCCGCCGAACGAACGAAAACTCAGAGTCCCGCCGTGGCCTACCTTTGCTGCAGCAGTACTTTCGGACAGATGGCGTGCATATATCTACAAATCTCTCCGAGGCGGCGGCAAGGCCGAACAGCAAGCAGAGTTCAGATTGTTTGGGAAGGGTGGACGCTGGCGGGATGGGTTTGTACATCGTTGGCTTGTGTTGTCCGTCTTCAAGAGTGCCCCCCCGGCTGTTGCCAGGTTGCTTCCTCGCCTCAGCTGTAACGCCGCGCTCCGTTGAGAGCCCCGTTCGCTAGCCAGACCGACCATCCGAAGAGGAGCGGCGGGGGGTCTGCGATTGTTGATGTCTGAAAAGGGAGGTGTGAGATGTGTGAACACCGGATGGTGCGTTGGTTGTATGAGGTGTGTCACAGGCTAGTGAATGGTGAGTTGGTCGCGCCCAAGGCAAGCGGGTGCCCGCTCAAGGCGAAGTACTGTCCGCAACTCCCACTGGAATTTTCTACAGTAGCCGTCTCTTTTAATCTTTCAACGCGCGCGCGTTCGTGTAGTACAATGATATGCAAGCCAGGAAGTCTCTTCTTTGTATTGATTTGGCGGGAGGGAGAACGGAGAGCCAAAGAGGGAGAGCAAAGGCAGATCGTAGTTCATATCGTTGTGTGAAGCGTTCTTCAGGAATGGGGTGAGGGTACCGGGGAGGCGCTTGGATACACGCGTGCGTGCATGACGTTTGTCAATTATCGTCAACAGGCCTTCTGCCAGTCCATTTTTGTAGTGATACCAGCGCGGCAGATTTAGGAGTGAAACGAACGCTGGAAAAGATTTGCGTTGTATTGTCAATGTACAGCAGTAGTAGTTCAGTAGTAACAAATGTCTGCTTTTATCCCTATCTGTGTCTGTTTCTTCCGAAGAGGTGATGTCGATGTAGCAGAACGATTTCTTTTGTCGCACAGTTTTGGCCACATGTTTTGCTACGTGCAAGACTGCAGGGTTTTTGTAGGATGAGCTCTTCAGAGATGCGTGGGGGCTGTTTCTGCATTTCACTACACAGCGGTGACGGAGAGCTTGAGCGTGTTCGTACCAAACAAAAGTGAGTTGCATGATGGAGGGAGGGGACACACACCACCTACAACAGCGGGGCGCGTTGTTGCAAGAACCAATTCTAGTGGAGTGAGGCACCCCTTCGCCCGTTGGAAGGTAGCGCACTGTGCACAAGAGGCGACAGACACTTCGACTGTCTTCATTGACCCAACGTCTTGAGCTTTCCTCTGGGAAGTATGTAACCCCCGCTGGTGGTCGATACTACAAGGACGTAGCACAAACGCATCGATCGGTCTGATGTTGCATGGATATTGCGCGTAGTCTTCAAGCCGGAGCAGGCGCCCGTTCTGTGTTGTGTACCGACCAAATGAAGAAAAATAAAGGCGTCGTCAATTTATCGGGGTTCGAGCACGTATTTGATGAATGTAGCCGAGGACCGTCGCGCCAGTGAGTGATGATTCGCAGCAAACGACAGTTGACTGCTGTTGTCCAGTGCTCAAGGTAAGTACATGGCTGCTACAAGCAGCTGTATGCATACGCGTCCAGACCAGGGTGAGTGTCGGACAACGGTCCACGGCGGGTGGATTTGGTATTTTCCGATTCCCTTCAGAACTATTCGCGCAAGAAGCCCACCTGCGTGTATCGACAGGCATGTTGTTGGTAGCCGCCTTCGTTGGGTACGCATTGGATCTTTCCTGCGGTTGAAGTTGGGTTCAAGAAACCCGCCCCCGTCCAGACGACCGTCTACCCTCCTGTGTCCCATCCCCTGGTCTATTTTTTTTTGTTTCGGCTGCGGGGGGCGGGTTCAGCATTCCTGCATGCCGGGTGCTGTTGTTAAACACACAGAACGAAAGCCCACCCCCCGTCTTGTTTTTTTATTATTATTTTGTCAGCAGTAGTGGTAGTGGTTGACAAACCGCCCCCGTCCAGACGACCGTCTGCTCTTCGGTTATAATTTTGACATTTGACGTGAAAGATTGACGTCTCGGGAAATTTTACACCAGAAGGTTCCGCCGCGTTTCTGGAAACGAAATTCTCACGATATTTTTTCAGACCGTGTCAAAAAAATATGGACATGAAAAGATCGACGGCAATTCTCCAGGTGGCACACACCGTCATGTTCTCTCAGCTACCATCACCGGAAAGGAGCGACGCCAGTAGCAAACGCATCCACCACCCCTACCGAAACATCCTACGCGGTCCTGTACACACGTCTTGGCGAGTTCGCGCGGCATCGCGTGCCCGGAGTCGCATGTTCGGCATGCGCGTTCAATGTTGGCAGAGGCGTGTGTTTACTATTACTAGCACAGCAGCAACACCTTGATTGACTGCAGTGATCAGGGTTGTCCTGCCCCCGAAGGGAGAGAGAGAGAGGCATAAGGGAGGGTACACGGACTTGGCCGGTCAAGTGCCTCTCACCAAACCCCGTCACCTCACGGAGTTGGGGTTTGCGCTGGGGCGCTTGGTGCTGCCAGCAGCTTGCCCGTCGCGTGTTCGACGCGCGCGTTCGATCGTTGGCAGAGACGTGTGTGTGCAGCACAGCAGCAGCACCTTAACTGCAGTGATCAGGGTTGTCCTGCCCCCGAAGGGAGCAGAGAGAGAGGCATAAGAGAGGGTACACGGACTTGGCCGGTCAACTTGGTGCATCTCACCTAACCCCGTCGCCTCACGGGGTTGGGTTTGCGCTGGGGCGCTTGGTGCTGCCTGCAGCTTGCCCGGCGAGAGCAGTCTCTTTTTTTTTTTATTTCGGTGGTTCCTAAAGTCAACGGGCACAAGCGGCGCATTTATTTCGCGTCAATATCTCAACCGTGACTTCGGACTGGCGTCAAGCCTCAAACGTCAAAGTTCCACGTCAAAACAATGTGTGAACCCTCTAATGTGTGGATACACCACTTGGCGACCAGACGGAGTACCGACCGTAGAGTAGTGTTTACACATTGATAGTAAATCTTTAGGACTAACGCTTTCTGATTGGTCGGGCGTTGTTTGGCGTTGGTTCTAACGGCCAATTCCTCTCCAGCGCCCTCTCCCCGCTCCGCATTCCAAGCACGCGGCTGCGCCTCGTGCTCGTCCAGTTCGCGGCCACTAGGCCCTGCGTTGGCCGTGGGTTAGGGTTAGGGTTAGGGTTCATATTTTTTGACGATGCGCCTTTTTCTCTCTGTTGTTGTGCACAGGTGCGCAAGAACGGCAGAAATGTATGTGTATTCTTCGTCTGGACGCGTATGCGTACAGCTGCTTGTAGCAGCCATGTACTTACCTTGAGCACTGGACAACAGCAGTCTGATCGATAATTCGGGTGACCCAGTTCTATGTGCTTGGATCTAGCTGCTGACACGATGACTGTTGGATCTTGGGAGTGTACGAAAATCAAATTGGGAGATGCGGCATACCAAGATATCCTGTCTTCGGCTGGGCTTGAAATAACCCTTTTGCTGTCCTCCGCTCTTTGCATCAGTGGCTTCCTAGGTTTGGGCGAGGGCATGTGTGGAGCTATGGCCGTGTATGTATTGCTATTTTGTTTGAGTCATGTAGCTGCTGCTGATCGATAATTCGGTGGCTCAGTTCTTTGTGTTGGGAGTGTAGAGCAGCTGGGCCATGACGGGCCGTGGTAGGGTAGGGACGTGT